TTTAAAATTAAATATACAAAAATATTAATAATAATAAAAATAATATTTTTTAATTAAATATTCCTCAGATTAATATGGAGAACCTAATGAGATAAAAGTGAAGAGCTTTTAAACTTTTTTTATTAATTTATATAAATTTAAAAGTTATTAATAAAAAAAATAATAATTACTTCTTCTAATTCTTAATAATATTTAATCTATTATATCATTTTTTTTTTTTTTGAAAAATATTGAATAGCAGTTTATGAAATTTAATTAATTAATTAATAATAAATGGATAAAAAGAACAAATAAATATAATAATTAATTAATTATCAAATATTAATTTATATATTTGGTTTTATGAAGAGATATCACATTCACTATTTAAACTTAATATTTTTATTTAAAACATATACTTAAAAATATAGTAGGAATTAAAGACAGCCAGTTATTTATTTAGTAATATTTGAAAAAAATCTGGTAGTTAATGTTCTTAAGTATTATAAAAATAATGTTTATCAGTAGATTTTTCTGTTTTAGCTCTGTAATTTTAGGAATATTTATAATATTTCTAATTATAGCATTATACCATACAAAAAAAAATTTCATGGTTTGCCTGACACTTATTATGAAATATATTTTTTATTTATTTATTTATTAAAAAATCTAATTTATATATATATTTTATAATAGAATTATAATTAATTAATAATTTATATTTATTATAATTTCAAAAATAAATAAGAGAAATTAGATGAAAATGGATTAATTAGAGAAGGTTCAGTTGTAAGAAAAGGTGATATTGTTATAGGTAAAATATTAATTTTAAATCAAGAAGATTAAATAATTGATAGATCTATAAAGTTTGAATATGAAGAAGGAATAATTTTAAAAGTGAAATAAATTAATGTCGATGGATAATAAAAAATTATAATAAGATTCATTATTCCATTATATCCTTATATTGGTGATAAATATGCTGCAAGATGCGGTTAGAAAGGAACAATTGGAACAATTAGAGATGAAAATTAAATGCCATATAACAAATGATGGTACACCAATTGATATCATAATTAATCCTTGTTCATTTTCAACCAGAATGACAATAGGTATGAATATTGAATAATATACTTCTTATCTTGTGTTATTAACTGGAATGTTTTTAGATTCTTCAATGTTTTGCGATGTCTAAGATTAACTTAATAAAACTTATAAATAGTTATTAGATTATTATAATAAAATGTAAAATCTCAATGATACAAATCAAAGTGAAGAAGATAGATAGATAAGAAGAAATATAAAGAAATATATTGGGATAGAAAAAGATTTATTATCCTTTAACTGGGGAATTTATTGGTTATGCTCAAGTTGGATTTGTATTTTATGCCGCTCAAGAATAAAAAGCTTTTAGTAAACTTTATGCTGTAGGATTTAACGAAGCTTATAGAAACTAAGTATTTTAACCTAGAGATGGTGCAAAGAATAATGGAGGTTCGAGATTAGGTGAAATGGAAATGGCTGCATTTTTATCTGCAGGTACAACAAATGTAATAAAATAATTTGCGTGGTAGCACTCAGATGGATTTGTTATTAATATATGTTCTCACTGTGGTTTATATGCGCATAGAGATTAGAATTAATAAAAATATTATTGTAAAAATTGTAACGGTAAAAGTGAAGTTGTTAAAACATAAATATAATATTCATCAAAACACTTTAAGGATTTATTGAATTATTTGGGTATGTCTATTTATTTCAAACCAAAATAGAAGAGATGATTTTATCTTAAAGTGGAAACCTTATTGAATTGATATGATTTTATTTTTTATTTTTATTTTTTATTTATTTATTTTTAATTATTTATTTATTTTAAATATAAACTAAAATTAAAACTAAAAGTTTATTATTTTTTTTTTTTGTTTTTTTGTTTTTTATTTTTTTTTTGTTTTGTTTTTTTTTCTTTTATTTAAATTGATGATATGTTATTCAATTTTCACTTTTGATAAGTGTATTCATATTAGATTAATATTATTAATTGTTAATTTGATAAGAAAAATTATTTCTTCATTCATAATTTTCCAAGTTAAATTGGAATTATATTTTTGATAATTGGAAATTTTATGCTACCTTATATTCTTCTTTTTGTTTTTTTGTTTTTTATTTTTTATTTTGTTTTGGTTTTTTTTCTAAAAGTTTTTTTTTTTTGTTTTTTTATTTTTA